TTCAAGATTATTTCAGCAAAGTTCCAGCTCGAATGAAAGAGTTTTAATTTTGGAACAATTTTCGTCCAAGTGGCCCTTTAAAAGTTTTCATAATATTTTCATTTCAAAATAAAATGCTATTCCAATTTTATCGTACCTGACGCAGGTAGCACATGGTTTGAAAGTATTTGATTTTAGACAATGACTTTGACATGTGCAGGGGGACTAGCTCAAATGGTAGAGCGCTCGCTTAGCATGCGAGAGGTACCGGGATCGATACCCGGGTTCTCCAGGTCGAATCCTTTTTTTCAAAAAGCTAATTTCTAGTTTTTGCCTAACGCGAGTATTTTTCTCTACATTTTAACTTGGATTCGATTAATTTGTCTGTCATGAATTAAACAACAACAACAAAAAAAAAACCTTAAAAAGATGAAGAAGCTTTTCAAATCAAAAATTATCTCAACTTGCAATACTGAGGATCAAAACTTTCTCCAAATTTTTGTAAGCTGTAAAAGAAAAAGATAAGATAAAATGTAAGTATATGACATTTGTAAAAATATCCTATATCTGTCTTTTAAAAAACAGTCAAAATAATTCTTTTTCTTATGATAATGATAGAACAAGCTACCAAATGAGCCTTAAGACACCACGATAAATAAAAAAAACTATGTAAAAGTGCATTAGAAATGTTTGCCGTGGAGAACCCGGGTATCGATCCCGGTACCTCTCGCATGCTAAGCGAGCGCTCTACCATTTGAGCTAGTCCCCCGACGCTGATCAATAAGGTGAACATTAAAATACATATTGTTCAGTCTTACTACTCCGTGACGTCATTCTCTTTACGCATGCGGAGTTCTCTATATAACAACTTCCCCAGCTTCAAGATGGCGTTTGGAGGTAAAGTGCTCGGTTGTTTGGTCCGGTTTTTTCAATGGATTCCTGTAGTTTTTATAAACAGTGTCATCGTCTGGTCTTACTATGCATACGTATTTATCCTTTGTTTCGGTAAGAGACTTGTTACTTTCTAATTTCGTTTAATCTTGATGCAATTTGAAGGCAATAATGTAGTCGTTTTACCGAAGAAGTAAGCTTACTCAGAATGTTATCCTAATTCTGTATTTTTATTTCTTTACAGAAAGTGTTAAGTCTAATGTCGAAAAAGGTTCGTTCAAAAGAAAAATTAAATTCTCATATTATTTTCATTATTAAGGCATATAATTACGGAACATTTCAAAACCATTTTTAAAGCTTACGTTTTTATGACCATCGACGAAAATTACTTTGAGCTTGACGTACAAGTCATATAAACAAAGCATTAATAATTGTAATTTCTTTTTAATTTAGCTATGTACTTGATATTTTACCATCCTTTCTTCTTAATGCTGATGGTTTCATATTGGAGAACGATCTTAACAGATATAAAAAGTCCGCCAAGCCAGGTATGCTTTGCTAGTAGAATGGAAAATATAAACGGAAATCAAGAAATCCATCTCGTTTACCACTCCCATGATTTGTTCTAGATTACGATTAAGTATTGAACCTTTTCTTTTTCTCGCGATTTTTCAGTTTTCCCTTTCAGAAGCAGACAAGGAGAAAATAGAAAATGGGGTAAGCCTATCGACCGAATGCTCAAAACATGATATATGCACATAGAGAATTTTAAAAATTGCATATTAATTATTTAAAATATATATTTTGATAATAAAGCCAGACAGTCTGTTTTCGTTTTAAGATACATTCAGCAGTATGCTGCTGTCAATCAAATTATAAATATGTCAATCATATACTTTTACATACTCTATCACAATACTCCTTTTTACAGTTCCATTCATTGACCACAAATAATCCGTACATGGCAAAACCACAGTTTATCATTCGCCGTAACTCCAGCCTCAGCTAGGAACTATTCTTCGTGGTCACTGAACGGAACTGTAAAAAGGAGTATTGCAATGTAGCAATAAAACAGTTGAAAGTTGAACCATCACTGAAGTTCTGGAAGCACGTAAAATGATACTTTATGTAAATTAAGCCTTAGTTTGTTATTTATGTGCCAAACAGAGATCAATAGGCCTTTCCCGAATTCGCTTGACTGATCACGAAACAATGGTTTCAAGTCGAGGTTGGACTTGATGAATAAAAGAATCAAGTTTAGTCTTGAATTCAAACCATTGTTTCATGATCTTCCAAGAGAATTTGGGAAAGGTCTATTGGCTGGTGATTGACACAAAGCAACTTGTGAAAAACTTTTTGTGAAAATAGTTGACATATTAACATCACAATAATCTTATGGCTAAAGTATGGCTATAATGATCTCTAAGAGCAAAATATTTGCTTAATATTTGATATAATTATTATATAATCCACAAATTTTATTTTATTATAAGTTGTTTACCTGGAATTAAACTCTAGACCATGGACTTGCATTTCTACTTATATATATCAAACTTTCAATAATAAGTTTACTTCCAAAAGAATGGCTTGTATTTGAGGTCGTATTTAATAGTGTACAGATAGCAAGTATAGCTACCTTGATTGATTAAAAAGTCTAGCCCTTGATTTCTCATTTATCCAGTCTTGAGACAGACATCATGATTGTTTCATGATATTTTTAGGAAAATGCAAAGGAAATTTTAGAAAGATTTTCCAGCAAACTTCCAACTTGTACAAGAACCATGTCAGGGGGTAAGTGGGGTGTTCTAGAAATACCAATATTTAAAATATTATTTTGGAGTTTAGTTTTATAAAGAATGAAGTGATAAGATTGATAGTAGTAAGTGAGGTTAGCGAACTAATTCTGAAGTATATCAATATATATATTTTGTAATATATACAATATGAGCCAATAATGCATATCAAATGTGAAGGAGTATAATTTCAAGTTGTGCTAAAATGTTTTAGATTGTAGTGGTTTTGACCAAGAAAATTCATTTTAAAGTTGAAATTATATATTTTACAAATGAGGATGATTAAGTATCTGATTTGCAGGCTTCTGGGTGACTTATTTCTATTATTAGTGTGTGTGTGTTTTCTAGTTGTAATTTGATAAGTATATTAAATATAATTGATGAAAATATTTATTACTTTTCAGGTGTTCGCTATTGTGATATCTGCAATCAAATAAAGCCTGACAGATGCCATCACTGTTCGATGTGTAGAAAGTATGAAATACTTTATCATTACAGAATTGTAGCATTTATTACTGTATTATAAGAACTCGTGATGAAATTTCTTCATTATTTTGTATTGATTGTGTACAGGTGTGTGCTCAAGATGGACCATCACTGCCCTTGGGTTAACAACTGTGTCTGTTATTTCAACTACAAATTCTTCATACTTTTCTTATTCTATGCTATTCTCTACACCCTTTATGTTACTGCAACTGTTACCAAATACTTCCTTGCATTCTGGAATGTAAGTATTACATAGAGATTTAATGATAATAAGGGATTATGTTTGACCATAGATCTTTGTCAGGGAGCAGCCAGGTGTATTCATATGTGAATTAAAGCCTTTGTTTCTGCCACGAGTTCAAACTCATCCCAAAATGCTTTCAAGGAGGCAAGGTTAAAGGGGCAAAAATCTATTGTATTAGCCAATATGCCTGCTGTGTGAGAAATGTCTATTTGCTGGTAATTGTGGTCAATTATCCCAGGCATGACCTCTTTAGTAAGAGGTCTAAAGTACGTTTTCCTGTTCCTCCACTGTCAAACTTGTTTCAATCAGTGTCTCTAAACCATGTAGCTTGGTTCTAAATACAGGGCACTGATAGAGAGATATGATAAATGACCAGCAATGCAGTCAACCTCTGCTACTACTTACCATGTTCAATAGTCTAAGCTATGGGCATTGAATATAAAACTTTAACCTGTATGATTGAATTTGTTGTGTTCTGCTATAAGGCTTGCTTGATTCTTCTGCAATTTGATGACGGAGATGTTTGTTTATTTCAGAATACTCTGGAAGGCGATGGCAAATTACACATTCTATTTCTGTTCTTTGTTGCAATAATGTTCTGTATTAGCCTGTGGTCACTGTTTGGTTATCATGTATATCTCACAACTGTTAATAAAACTACTTTAGGTATGTCATAATTCACAAAAATGGTTAGGTTAAAATATTTAATCACCCTTTTGACAATATTCACAGTAGTGATTCTACATGGGGTAAGATGTTGAATAGCCTAAAAGAAATTATAGTTTGAGTACAGCTTTTTAAAGTTATCGGCCATTGGACCAAAATATCTGGCAAGGATCGGAACTTCTCCATTCAAAAATTTGTCTGGCCAGTCATTACAACCAGTACCGTTGTGCCAGAAACGAAGTATGATGGAGCTAAAACTTATTTGAAAATTGGTTGAAGATTGGTTGCATTCAGAATTCATCAATCTATATTACATAAGTTTTGTCTCTGACTTGTCTCTGGCAGATGTTCCGGCTAGTTCTTTTACTGACGAAAACATCTGCCAACTGGTCAATTTAATTCAGAGAAAAAACTTTCAAAATAAAGATAAAACTAATTTGGATTGGTCATTATGACTCTTGTGACTGGCCAGCCATTATCTTAACCCTCCTGTCATAAAATCCCTTAGGGTGGGAAAATAGGAAGAGGATTATTAATCTTTTTTTTTTCTTATGGTTTTTTATCAGAATCCTTTCGAGTTCCTTATTTCATAAATGGTCCTGATAAGAAGGGTTTCAATCTTGGGTCTGCTATAAAGAATGTAGAACAAGTTTTTGGAACCAACAGACTTCTTTGGTTTTTACCAATAAAGACCAGGTACGCTAAATAAACAATACTGTATAATATCTCTTGTACCCTTTAATCTTGGGGAATTTAAGATAGGGGATGAGAGCATTGGTGGGTCCTTGGGTAATAATAAAAGGACCATCTCAGGGATGGATGCAGGATTTTAAAAGTTATAAATACATATTTGTTTTATTTGTGCAGAAGAGGGGGAGGGGGGTGAATAGTCCCCCCTCAAAACCCCTGCATCTGTCCTTGCATCTAGGCCATCTAATAGATTACTAGATTAAAACCTAACAAAAGGTGTTCATTTCTGACTAAACCCACTAAACATTTAGTTGCTAAGCTTTATTCTGTAGTGGTACAGTAATTAGAAAAATATATTTGCTGTTCTCACCTTCCCCATCTTAGAGGGTTGATGGATCATTGTGCTTAGATCCCTCACATATAATACTCTTTTGAAATTCCTTATCCCATTTATGGGACGGGGAAGGTATGGATATTTCCCAGAACTATACAAGATAGCACAGTTAAAATGCAAAATTCCACATTTAATTCTTGCATTTTTGTACTGTAGTCTTGGTGATGGGGTGCGCTTCCCCCTTAATCATCGACCTGAGTCTGATCGGCTGCTGAGCGACCGTGAAAGATGGATGGAAGAAGGGGAATTAGATACACCCAATGAACAAGCTAGTGACAGTGAAAAAATGGACGAATCCACAGAAACTATTGGTGTTCGAACGCCTGAGCTAAGTGAAATTAATGAAATGCAGCCAACTGTTTCAGTCAGTCAGAATGTCCGTCCAGACGTACTGGAAGTCAGTATGAAACCTCAGAATGAAGGAACCACGCTATAATATTTAACAATAATTGGAACACAAGTTCTTCTTTTCTTTTCCTAATACATGTTTGTTATCTTATGTAAAAGAATTAGGAAATCTGGATTTCTTAATTTATTTACATGAGATAAGACATCCATGTATTGGACAATTCTATGAAGCTATGTCATCTTCAAACCAATGTACTAGTAACGGGCAGTCATCGCATGAGATTTTTTAGGAATTTTTTTTATCAACCTGAACTACTAGTGGTGAAGGGCTCTTTTCAATTTTCGTTTTGTAAGACGCGAGGATGTAGGTTTGGCATACTGCTTGGCATTAGGACTTCTGTCTCCAAAACTCTTGTGTTCTCCAGCCATACTAGAAAACCATTGATAGTTTGCAATGATTCCCAAGAGAGGGAAGAGACAAAGACAGGATGGCCATTTAAGTCTCTATTATTGAACAATATTATTTAGAGCATAGGGATTTTAAATGATAAACTTTTGGAACACAGTATGAAATATTTAGGAAGCAATTTATTGAACTTTGGATTTAAAAACATTTTTTTGAGGAAGTTTGAATTTTGCCATCCTATTATGATGTCATTGGACCTGTTACTAACATTAATACATGCCTTAACATTATTTCATTTTAAAAAGATTTTTTTACTCAGGGCTTTAGTCGTAACTTATCATGGTTCTAAGGGGAGTCAAGGCTGCTTCTCACCTCTGGGGTCTCAGGTTTAATACCTGGACTTCACCTTACATGCAAGTCATTTGTATAGATCTCCCCCCTGTTTGATTCAAGAGTCTTTCTCTGGATTTTCTCCCACTGCAAAACTTAACACACTAAATTCCAATTTGATCTGAGAGAGGACTGGTCTTACTTAGATTGGAGGTTGTGTGGATTTGATAAAATTGAAGGCAGCTTCTGTTAGTACATAGATTAAGTGGACCAGTGGTCTAGATAATGAGAAAAAGTACTGCCAGCCAAGCAAATATTGGATAATTTAAAAAAAGAACAGTGAATTATTGAATAATTCTTTAAAAAGTTTCATTATTTTTTGTACAAATGAATAGTCTTGTTAGGCATGGTAGGAGACTTTCCCACTAGGTGGGTTAAATCGTTTATGAGTTTGCACTCAGGCTGAGCAATGTAGTCTCAGTTGATGAGAATTAGAAAATAATCCAGAACTTTAATAATAAAGATTTTTGTTTATATAGTTTCATATCCGAGTATTTCAAGAAGAATTTAAAGGAAACATGCATGCTACTTAATAAAGATTCATGCACCACTTGAATGGTTTTAAAAATTGTACTTTGTAGCCTGTACTTTGTAGAGTGTATTGTTAGACCACTGCACTCATGCGTAGAAAGTAGTCAGTATTACTGCTCACCTAACTCTCTTGTTATTCAATGCTATGTGCTGATTGAGACTAAACTCTCAGCAGACTAATTGACGGTATAGACTACCGTCAATGAAATCAATCATTTGATTTATATGTAGTCCTAAACATTTTGACAGTGATATAATGCTAGTTAAACTGTAGCAACTGTTTTCTCAATCAGTGGATAGCAATGAAAACAGTTACATTTTCTTGTAAAGATATCCAACATTAATCCTCCATTTGAGTTTCGTTAATGGATCACTCTTATATAGCATATACCTATTTCAAAAATGGTTGTCACTACAAGAGCCTAAAGTAACAAGCCAAGGCTCCAGAGGAAGTCGGTACTTTTAATTAATTGATTTATTCATGGTTCATGCAAGTGGCTATAGCTCTCCACTAATTATCATCTCAAGCAGCCTTGCTTGGAGCAATTTGTGAAGTCAATAAATGAAAATGCACCATGAATAAACTAATTACAGCTAAAAGTACTGGTGTTCTCTGCAATCTTGGCTTGTTGCTTGAGGCTTTTGGTGCGACAATGATTTTTGAAATAGGTGTATATAGAAACAGCATGCAGGTATTATGTATAGAGATTTTTGATGTATATGCTTGTAGATAATATTTGTCAATAATAATTATTATAATAAATAATGCCATTATTGTAAATAGCACAAGAGCCATTAACCAATGAGGAGGATCTAACATTTCACATTTAAACTGTAAAAGTAAAATACATTAATATTACATTTTTTGTTTTTTAGTCTTGGAAGTAAGTTACCTGCTAGCAGAGTCTCAATCACCTACAAGGGAGACTGCTAGCAGGAAGGAAAATGTTTTTTTTTCATTGTCAGTAGAATTGGCATCCATGCACAAAGGAATCTATAAGTTTGATACTGATCAATGTAGGAGACTTCCTGATTACTTGGCCCATGAAAAAATAGTGAAGTAAAGTCACTAAACCGGTGAAAAAAATATTAGGCTAATACACATTAGTAGACCCTAAAGCATGATACATAAAGTAGACACCAGTTTCATTGTTTTCTTGTTTTGCTTTGACTGTCTAGTAGAGTGACTTTATTTATTCCTAGTAGTAGACTCTAACTCCTTTGTTTTCTTTTGTTCATTATTGACTAGTACTAACTAAATAGTCTACAGGTAAACCAATTAAATCATTCCCCTTGCTAGTCATTAAAATTCTTTTTCATGGGCCAAATAAAATTACTCTAATGTAGGCTATGAGCATCCTACTATTTCCTTGCTCTGCCCTTTCCTTCACGAAAATGAACAGCTTTTCACCTCCCAAAAAAAGTAAAGCAACACGGTGGTACAAGATATACTTGTGATCTACAAAACCTTTATTTCCAACAAGTCATATAAAATCCTGTATTTATACAAAACCGTGACATTTAATTTCTGGTTCTAAGGTCACTCGTTGCAAACAAAATGGACAACACACTGCCACGGCCAGTGAAACAAACAAGATTTTCACTAAGTCCTTCAGGCCTCAGCTCACAAAGGACAAATAAATAATATTTCCAATATTCTAACAGCTTTTCTCTTTATATAAATAGTGCTGACTGTCTTTACTTTTGATGGAGTTAGAACACAGTAAATCTAGATTTTCAACATTTTTCTCATAGTGTAGTTGTACCTGTAGCTCATTCCAGTTTTCCTGCTCAGTCTTTAAGATGTTTTTTTTCCTGAATCATATAACTATCTCTGATTTTTGAACATATTAATAATTTTACTTCATTTGACAATTACCTATGATAAATAACCCTAAATACCTTTTCTAGTTATTTTTTTCAAAGCATTGATGTACTTTGGCTACTTCAACATAATTGATTTTTGATTATAAAATGAAAATTTTTTTACTTTTTTAAGCATTTTCCATAGCCAGAAGTAAAAGAAATTAATACTAAAAAAAGAACAAGATACCATAATTATGAAAAGTCCTCGACAGACGCAAAGCATTCAAATAAATTACCTGCACTTATAAAACATGCCATATTCAATTGCAGAGTAATTAAAAAAATCTATTCAGAATCATAGAAAATCCTGTTGCAAAATCGTACACAATTATATAAAAAAACCGAACTTAAAAAAAGAGTGTTATTACAAAAAAGCGAACCACAAAATTTATTCTCCACAAAATTAACTATGAACTCAATAATTTTCCTTTGGATAATATTTTTCTGGAATTAGAAAGGCAAGTTTATGGTATTTTGTGTAGCCCTGACATACTTTAAAACAATTGCCCTATTTCACTATGACATCACTGCTTGTTTATGTGGGGGATAGAATCGCCAAATCCAATAGAAAATTCAATAAAATTTGCTCCTAGTGAGGCAGTTTAATCTAAAATGGCCTGGTTTTCAGATATAATATGACTTGTGTTAATATGTACTGAAAAAGATTCTGAGCGTTTGCTGGCTATTCTACTTCTCTTTGTGGAGTGATACGGGATTTAGAACAATTTTCGGTTAGTTTGCCTTGATTTGACCCCCTCCGACAACCGTGATCCTTTGCGTTTAAACAATAGATTGTTTTGATGTGACGTCATAGTGAAATAGGGCAATTTAATCCAGTTATTTGAAGAAAAACTAAGTTATGGGTTGTCCTATGATTATGAAAAAGGCATAAAGCACGTTTCTGTAAAGTTGCAAACATTGCAGAGACAAACATCACCCCAGTTACGGCTACAACAATAGGATTTCTGAAAAAAGGGTTTTGTTGTAGAGATTTTTCACATAAAAAAGCTGGCTTAGCCCAAGTGATAAATAAATTCTATAAAATATTAAATGTTTGAAAAGCTAATTTTGGGTTATTTTCAATAGTTGAAGCAATCTGTCAGGACTATATCTCTACAACCAAGCAGTTTAAACTCTAAAGTACATGCCATTTCCATGGTGACACACATCATCACTAGTAACAACCAAGTCAGTTTTTCTCAATACTTTCCAGAGGACCAAGGCTGTTGCTTCCAAATCTCTGGTGAACTGAATCCACTCATAGCATCAAAAGTACCCCCAGGGGAGTCGGGCTCGGGAGAATCAACCCCTTGATGTGGAGCCATTGATTGGAAGGTAAGAGAGTCACTAGTAGCTGGCATAGTGGTAGAGCTTGGGATAGATCCATATTGCTCGCTCCAAATGCTTGAAACCTGGGCTGGGCCCCAAGTTTCTTGTGCAATGAAAGGTGTTCCTTCCTGGTTATCTGGCGTGGAAGCCCAGCTTGGGCCTGCTCTAAACAAGGTGTCCACAGGGTCAGCCTCAGACTCTGCAGGTGTTCCTCTTGTATCAGGTTGGTGTGGTGGACCACAATATGACCATCCATCACTGGCTGGGGTGCTACCAGAATCCCATATCTCTGCTACGCTCTTGAAATTAAGAGGTGTAGGGCTTGTCTCAGCATTGTCCAGAAAGTTGACCCAGTTGTTAGGGCAGCGTACAGGCTTTCCCTGGAACGTCTCATCAGCTGGACCAGAACTAAAAAGGCTCTGAGGATTACCAAAGTGGTTGTCATTTGGCTTGCTGGACCAAATACTTGGATGAGCCCTAGCATCCTCTGATGCATCAGAAACGCCAAAGACGCTGAAATCACGAGGAAGACGTTGGCTATCCTGGGATCCCTGTGGTGAATTTCCCAAATCACCAGATGCAATGCTCATTGTGTTGAAGGGAGTGCTTTCGAAAAGAGAGCTACTTGGTATGGGGCTGAACTGGGACATTGAGGCATGTTGTAGAGAAGGGCTGGAAGAACCAGGAGCAAGAGCAGAATCTGCTGATGTTGACCAGGGACTGTTCTTTGTTGCAGACAATGTAAAAGCATGAGAAGGTTTTGTCTTACGAAAACCAACTGGTTGGGCTGAAATAAAAATTAATGTGGGTATTAGATGTATAGGCAGTATTGCATTGGCAGAGGGGTTCCAGTGTCTATATGCCATAGCAAAGTGATTTTTCTCAGATCCACCCTCAACTTCCCCTATGGTAGAAAGCCTTTTATACTCTGATGAGGGACTAAGGTACGGAACGTAATTACAGTTCCAAACTTTTCTACACAGTGTCTAACCCAAGCATTCCTAAACAAGTACCCACTAATCATTATCAGTTTGTAGTATATGTGCTAGTTACCTTGGCGACCTCCATCATACAAATGACTTTGGTCTCCCAGTGGCATGGATCTTAAGGGTTTCAGCCTTTGCTTCAATGCCTGAGCAATAGAACCTTTTCCTTGATCACTTCCAGAGGACGAGCCATCACTAACAATACTGCTGTAGCTACTACTGCGGCTGCTTCCACTGAGGTTCGTGGGGGAGATGGATGGGGGAGAGTCTGTCAGGTGATTGGTGGATCCTATCATTTTGGTAAATGCCCTCTTCTTTCCTTCATCCTCTTCATAACTGTTATCATTGGAAGATGTTTGGAGACTCTTTTCCAGTTGTGACATGACTGCAGCAGCGATAGCATGAGGGGAAGTGGGTCCAAGATCATGTGATTCCATCTGAAGAGCAGTAATGCGATCCTTAGACTTAAATGCCAAGTCCAACGCCTTCGACTTCCCACCTGCCTGGTTGTCATTTTTCTTCCCTTTGTATGTGACATTGTTTCCGGTTAGAGATACTTGGTTTTTACGAGCTCTGCTCTTGTTGTCCTGTGTACTGTTACTTCTGATCACTGGTTCCCTTGGTGTTGAGTTGCTTGAGTCATTTGGAAAACTGCCTCGTCTTTGCTGTCTGTTTTCATTCAGTTGGTCCATTCTTACATCCAAGGTCATTTTATCCAGCATTGGTTCACTTCCACTATCATCAGAGCAGCCACCTTCGTCCTCACCAGACTGTCTAAAACCACCCCTCTCCTTAATCCTTGATCTAGAATCCTTGTCCTCACGTTTATTCAAAGCCTTGGCCTTCTTCTTTGACTTAGATTTCACGTCCTTGAATTCCCTTTTACAGCTATCAACAAAGTATGAGCAGTTTTCTGTCTCCATTTCCTGTACACTAGCGATCGATTGTTTCAGCTCCTCAATCTGAGCTACAGGTGTCTTGTAGTCTCGCTCATAACCACGATTATATTCACTTGATCTTTTACTCACACTGCCATAAGAATCTGAATATTTTGCCCCTCTATCTTGGGTGTTCCGTGTTTTACTATCATGGGATGAAGGTGATGGTTTTCTAGATGCATCATTGGACTGTTTTCCTGCCATATCAGGTTTTGGGCTCCTGTTTCGTACAACATCTTGTCTTGTGTTTTTATTGATATTGTTATTGGTAGAACTAGGCACATTAGTCGTCCCTGTAATGGTGGATTCTGTGTTAGAAGGTCGTTCTTCAGTTCTGTCTTTGATTCCTCGTTTTTTTCTGATAGTAGTCTGCCGGTCATCTTTACTTGAACTGTGCATAAAGACAGAAATATGTTTCAAAATTGTTAGCTTAGGGACCAATCACTTTTTGACTTTTTACCAGAAAGAGGGCGGGGCAGGGCCGGGCGCCAGTGGTTCTCACAGTTTTATCTTTTCCCCTTGCCCCCTACGCACTAGCCTTCTAGTGTTCTTTGCTAGTTATTAGGTGTCTCCTACCTACAGGTTGTTTGTGTAGAGATATTGGTCGCATCAGGACCTGGTCCAAAACGTGCACAGTATAGACCTCCTTGGCTCGGGCATAATGTTTTCCTATTTCAGACCAATAAATGAAAGGTGGTCTGAAATGGCGAACATTACACCTAAGCTGACGAGGTCTATTTGGTTCATGGTTCAAACCTGTTTTCATCAAACATGTCTGTTGCATCATATAACTTAGATTTTTATTTCAGACCAATACATGAAAGGTGGTCTGAAATGGGCAAACATTACATCTAAGCTGAGGAGGTCTATTTGGTTCATGGTTCAAACCTGTTTTCATCAAACATGTCTGTTGCATCATATAACTTAGATATGCCCAACATAATGGAATGTCTACTTACTTGGAATTATCTCTCGCGATGGCATTAAGATCAAAGACTTGCTCCGGCTCCTTGTAACTCATTAGCAACAAACTCGTCGTACTGGGTATCGGACTGCCTAATATGTTACGAGCTTCTGCATAAGCATAAACCACAACTAAGATGAACATCAAACACATGACAAAGCTTGTGACTATCTGTAAGTACGGCTCCCATGAAGTAAGGCCTATAGCTGATGCACACAGGGGGAGTAGGTGGGGAGGTATTGTCGCTACTAGGGTGAATTCCATCACTGGACCAAAGGTGCTTCTGACTTCTAGGTGACGTGTGACGCGTGACATGGTGAAATCTGGAGTAAAACTGAATGAAAACAAAATATGTTATGATTATGAGAAAATGGGAAATTTCTTTTGCATGGTATACTGTCTAATAGACCTTTTTTCCTTGGGGTTATGCTTTCCCATTTCAGACCACGTGTCATTCCCTTGAGAATAAGATTCTTTGTTTGAGTTGTGTCCATATTCATTTGCCTTCTCATATGCAACCATTCAACAAAGAAATGATACTCTAGAGAATGACATGTGGTGTGAAATGGGAAAACATTATACCCCCGATAAATGGATCTATTGTGTGGCATGCGCTTCTATGGCAGTGCAGTGGAGTTCATGCTTTGTGGAGTTCATGCTTAGACCACAGGGCCAGTGATAGACTGAATTATATATGGGAGTTTTAATGTCGCAAAAAATGAATGTAGTTGTAGTCCATGTGGAGTAAACTTCACAGAAGAGCCAAGTATGGCTAATGACGGCAGTAAAAAGAAACCCCTCCCCTAATTTATACTACTTTTAAATACTTACGCAATTTCTATTTTCCTGGAAGAGTTAGGATTCAAGATAAATGACTTGCAGTTGAGTATTTTGAATCCATAGCCTTCACACTCATAACCGTCTATACTTAGTGAACTGACAAAGATTGCTAACTGTCCAGGATTTGTAGCTGTTAGTACCTTCTTGACAGACAAGAGTGGCTGTGCTCTGGAGCGAGGTGGCGTTTCTGGGAAAAAATCCATAGAGTAAGAATTAAGTGAAAAAAATTCATTAAGCAGCATGCGCTCACAAAAATGGCTGTCATTCAAGGAATGCAAGCATCTGTGAATGTTAGTGATTACCATGCCTTTCAATGGCATGAGCGGAATTGTCCTTGTGATGAAGTAGGTGTTTGAAATCAAGGCCTCTCCATGAATATCCAAAAAAAACAGCTAAAAGTTGATTGATACTTACTGTGGCATTCTGACAAATGGCTTGCCCGCAGCTCAAATAACAGCATACTCTGCAGACCAGGTTTCTTGGAATTCAACATGAACTCTCCACGTGCCCCTTGACCTTGCACAGTCACAGCATCTAGCACAGTCAGGTTATTACGAATAATAATGATTGAAGATCGGATTCTATCATCTACGGGGAGAAACTTTACTGGTATTTGGATTTTAGAGCGAGGATTGAGTACCGTGACATGTGTATTAGGAGCTGGTGTAACGCCAAGAGTACCACTGATGGCTGGCGTTACACCTGTTAATGATTTACTTGTGCTGTTTGTCTGAAAGAAAAAAATGGAGATTTATTAATTGAGATTGTTAACCAGCTAAAATTGATTCACCACTTTTCTGCTGAAAATTTGAATTTGGGCATCAGTGCACATCCAATGTCTTGGTCTCACATAATAAAGTAAGGTGGTGGAGAAGAAACAGGTATGTTACGGCAGCTTTCAAGTAAAATGGCAGATGCAAAAGTGGATGACTTTGAAGGAACGCTCCCACCCTATACTAACCTTCTGGGAATTTACACTTGGTAAAGAGAATACCTTTTCACCGTGAACCATAAATGCATCGGTATCGAATCTGTAATGAACGATTAAGACCAGTATTAGTAATATGCTGCAAGACAGTTTTACACCACTCCTTGCCCCTCTAGCTAACCAATCCATCAGTGCTTTTGGATGTACACAAGGACACTGTAGGCGCTACCCTGTGCAGGCATTATTCCCTTTCTCCCTTGACTCTCCGTGTTCTGTTTTGGTTCTATTCTGTTTGTTTTTATTAAACCCCAAAATAGTCTTTATTTTAGTGACTGAATATTCTTACCTATCTGCTATAATATCTAATAATCCTTGTGATTTTGGATATGTGGATAAAGAAACTATCTGAACAACTACAGGAACATCCCCTGGGTTTTCTATACTAAAATGCTTCAGTGAATAATTGCCAATATGTGTCAAAGGGAATTTGATGGGTTTGACAGGAGCTAAGGATGGCCATGTTAAAGATGCTCGTGCTGTCAGACTGATTCCTTGGGCTAAATCTGTGTTGATGTTGAACGTAGCCTCGATTCTGTGGAAAATATAAAAAAGGCTTTAATGAAGCTATGTTGAAAGAAGAAATAGAACAGAGGGACTAATCAAGCAGAGCACTGTATAGCCTGCATACAGCTGAATTAACGGACGTTAAGTCCTTCTGTATTAACCAGAGTCAAGTTGGGCTGTGCGAAGGCTATAACTTGTATTCTGCTCAGCAAATGTCCAAAGAAACAAAGTTGAAGCAGTTTTAGTAGGAGTGGGAAACAATATTATAGCAATTTGGTAGTCATACTGTAGTCATAGCTATGACAATGCATTGTGATTGGATATATTACTGGAAGATGATGGAAAGTCTTTTCAATGTCACAGAATACAGTACCGTGCACATGCTGTAATCAGTACAAAAACCGCTCTAGGCTAAAAAAGGCCTTGTTTTCTTGTGCCCCGAAAAACAGTGTCTGTTTAGATGACATGTGACTTACCCTGTTGAGCCAGCTCGTTTCATTGAATCATATATTCTTTGCAACTTTTCTACATATTGTATTTCCAGGTCTATGACATCTGGAGGTAGGGTGAGCGTACTTAGCCATTTTGATCCTGATAGAAACAAAAAATCTATCAGTTGCCATCACGTTGGTGGCAATTCCAATAAGTTGCTATAACATTACTGGATTACAGCTGTGTTCTCAGGCGTAACCATAGTAACAAGTGCAATAAAGGGTTGTCTACCTGAAGTCCCTGTACCAAGACCAGCGTAACACTGACTTTTACATCCTTTAGAAGGATCAAAATGGATACTACCAACCTGAGGATGGACAAAATTATTATTAGTAGGTATTAGTAAAAACAATGACTGTTACTTGTATTAATCTTAGTTAGTATGTATTAGTATAGCAAATCACATGATCTTGAGTAAGATTCGGAATTCATAGGTACAAGTGATGTTTCCAAAGTTTTCAAAATTGGATGAGCCTTCAGGCGAGTTTAATTTGGAAACTTTCAAAACATTACAAGTATCTATAAATTCCAAATCATATGAGAAGATTGCACAATTTTTTGTTTCTAATACGCTCAACAAAATTTAGCAACTTAATTGGGACACTTCAGAGTACATTTGAGATTTAATTGTCCTCTTCTTGTCCAATCAGAATCAAGTAATTTTGCAGAGTATACTATAAGTAAAAAAATAAGACTTATTACTCAGGCTTCCTGTTGAACGCCTGGGTATGAGTGGGATATTTTTTCCAATCAAAGCATCTAGCTTTCTCCATTACAATATTACAGGATAGTGTGAGGGTGGGTACTGACCCAAAGAGTCATACCAGGCAATGACACTCAAATGGTTTTAGCAGTGAACCAATCACCTGGGTCTGGTTGTATGAAGAGTGGATAGCGTTATCCCAAGGATAAATCTTATACAGTAGATGAATTTATTGGATAATGACACCATCTTATCTACTGGATGAGGATTTATCTATTGAATAGTGCTATCCACCCTTTGTACAACCAGGTCCAGGTATTGAACTACATTTTGTCCAGTCCCAATGCTTGCTGGCATTTAAGTACTTTAATTTTCCCTTTAAGCTGATTGTGTGGTCGCCAATGAAAGAATAAAGCATAAATCTATCAAGACCTACTCTATAAAGTTTGTGTGATATAGAATCTGAAGGTGCTGTTGAGTTTTCAACAAATGTAAATCTTGGATCTGCTGGATGAGGGATGACAGACAAAAGCTTGACAGGATGTGAGAATGTACTTGTTAGAGAAAGAGTTTGACTCTCTATACGACCCTGAAAAAAAATTAAAAAATCTTATTAGTTCAAAGATAGTTGCAAGAATGGAACAGAATGTGGTCTTCTATAAGTGAGAGCTGGTCCAACTTGGGTAAGAAATAACTTCCAGGGTTTGCTAATCTCTATGCTTGAGTTTTTTAAGTTATATATGCCAATTGGTACACAAGCAAATGATGCTTACTTACAGGAAAACAGGGTTCAAATGTTATAACTTGAGGAGATGGAGATACTTTGCCCTCCATTGCCTTGAAATAAATAGGAACATGAAGAACCTGAAATGATAAAGACGAAAAATGTTATGAGTTATTATACTCACCATATTGATGATCGAGCTACAGCTACAGCATTTAACATTGTGAAAAGATAGGGAGACTCCTACCCCTGGTTATTTACCAAGTTACAGAACTAAACACTTACCTCAAAGTTTGTGGTGATTTCAAATTCACCAGAATACCTTCCCTCTTTCGCAGGTACTGTTAACTCAACATCGTAAAAAGCTACGTGATTAGGCTTAATAGGAACCTGTAGGATTGCAAACCAACCATCATTATTATGCATTAATATGCATTAGTCTGCTAACATCACTGACATGTTGAGCAGCTCATTCACTACAAAATAGAGACTGACAAATTTTTAACTTAACAGCAAAATCTTAACATGACAATAAATATTGTGTTAGGTGCAGCTAGCTCCCATTAGCTGAAATGGTGTTACTTAGCCCCTCTCTATGGTTTGGACCACACTATCGCCCATCCCTTCCTTTACTGACCTGAAATAGCTGAAGTAGCTTGCCAAAGAATTTCAGCAGAATTTTTTCATAAGCTAGTCCCAAAGCTCAAACAGAGGTCTTGATTAATTCCATGCCCTGTTTCCCTCAACCCCCCCCCCCCCCCCGTATAACCTCCACTGATGAAAAAACAATGAAGCTCACTATGATTAAAAGTGGAAATAGTTCCCTTGATTCTTCTTACCTTGACGTGTTCACTTTTTCTTAATTCATTGACTTTAGAAGATGAAGTATTGTTGTTATTATTTTTACTACCATTTAGTCGTACATCAAGTAATTTTACTGAGGCAAAGTCTACATTACATGTTATTTTGGATATTGTCACCTAGAAATGAAGAGGAATGTATTATTGCCATCATCATCATTACCATCACATAACAATACCACCACCATCATATTGCCATCACATTGTCATCAAAACCATTTTCATTACCATCATGTCATCATCATCATCAACACAACACCATCCCCTCGTCATCATCAACACAACACCATCCCGTCATAATCATCAACACAATACCATGATATTACCATCACGTTGTCATCAAAATCATCATCATCACCATTACATAATCATCATCACCACCACCACCATCATCACATCAACATCATCATCCAGGCTGTACATTATTGTATGATGAACAAATTCATCATCACCACCACCACCACCATCATCATAGCAACATCATCATCCAATAGGCTGCACATTATTGTATGATGAACAAAGTCATCATCATCATCATCATCAACACCACCACCATCACATCAACATCATCATGTAATAGGCTGTACATTATTGTATGATGAACAAATTAGGATAACTGCATGTCAAACCACTTATCATGTACAACATACCTCTACAGGATTGGTATTATAAATTTTTAATAATTTCGTTCTCTTTTCTCTTGTTCCTACTGTTCCATAATCAACTATGTCTTCCTCAAGACCATCAATAATATACTAAAACAAAACAAAACAAATTAGTCCTTGTTTTGTGGGGTTTTTTGCTTCAGTATTTGTTTGTTTGCATGACTGTAAATTTGTGAGGGGAATCAAGGTCAATGGTATTGCATTTGCCTCTCACCTCTGGGGTCTCAGGTTTGATTCCTGACTTGCCATCCAACATGAGTCGAATTTGTTAGTTCGCTCCTTTGCTTTAAGGGCCTTTCTCCTGGTTTTCCTCCCTTCCAAAAAACCTGAATTACTAAATTCCAATTTAATCCGTGAGTTGGCTGAACCTTGAATTTGATTGCTGCACAATGTTCCATTTAAAATTTGAACGTTTGATAAAAACTGTATGCAATGAACATGATAGTGTCATTTGCAAAAAGGGCTTTATTATCACTTAGAGAGTGATTTTACCTTGACTTTGCCATCATAACAGTGTATAGGTATAGTGAATATTGATGCATTAGTATAGACTCGTAATATGGTAGAAAAAGCTGTATCAGAACCGTTAGCCAGGAACTGCACATAAAATGGAGTTGAAGTCTTTTGAGGGGATATCATGGCTGGTTTGGTAAAGTTAATAATCTGGAAGAAAAGAAACAAAAGGATATCAACAACTGACAGATTAACGTTACTTTAAATTGGATTATAGATCCCTCTCAAAATTATCTGGGATGCGGCAAGGATAACAGAAAAATAAAAAAAAAAGTTTGTACTATTTAATTTGTACTTTTGTTACCCTAGCATCATAGAGATTCATATCTTGTCTTAACCACACTCCATGCTTCACGCTCTGGCAGTTAATTTGAGGCAGCATCTCTGTTAGACCAAAGATCTTAATATTACAAAAAAAAATCACAATTCTACATACTGAGAAGAGGCTTTCCACTTCAGGAGGGAATGCTGCATCATATATCACCATGGTAAATGCAAAAGTATTAGTGATTGGTAATTCCCGAATGACAGGTACAAACGGTGGCTTGCCCACATAGAATCTTGTTTTGCTCACAGAGTATGCAATAGTCCTGAAAGAAAATATTATCAAGTTAGAATTAAAGTTATTTTCATATTTATTTTTTCTTTCTTTCTTTTTTCAGCTATTAAATTGTCTAACTTGTCTGACTTTTTAAACTCAGTTTCTCATTGATTAAGCTATGCAGCTGTGCTGCACATGTCTCATATGGAAATTGCCATATAATGATCATTTATGGTATGCTAATACCTAATATCACTGTTTTTGTTAATTACTGATAAATTTATTTCTGAAGTTAAAAAGAGCATTGATTGAAACATCAAAGGACAGATTGATATTATCAAGTAATGATGTAATGGGACAAACACTAGAAAATAAAAAAAACAAAATATTTCAAATATCTTCAGAATGAAAAAAATAAAGAGGAAATAAAGTTATAAAGAAAATAAAAGGAAAGAAAAGAATAGAAGTGGCAGGAAGGAAGTGTCGTGAGTGTCAGTAGCGAGTTATGTAATCATTATGTAATCTGAGAGTATTGAAACTTGAGAGGAGATTTTTGGGGTGGGTGAGTGTTGTGAGAGGGTCAGATGCAACGCGGAGAGAGGAGAGTATGTGATAAAACTGTGTCTCAAATAAATCGAGAAAACAACAAAATATTGTGTGTGATCTGTCACGACACAAAGTGGCGACCCTGCCAGGACACGGACTTAGGTGACTGCGAGTTTATCAAGCCAACGGATGTCAGAGATCGTGAGTTTTGAGCCGAATCAAGCCAAGGATTAATCAAGTAAACCCCGGGAGTAAACAAACATGGAGACATTGGCGAAGTTGGATAAATTCATAGAAGGCAAATTAAAGCTGTTAGCTTTCACCTCCGAAGATACAGCAAGAATTGTTCAAGAAGGGGATGTGAAAGCGATGGATAGGCAGGCGAAAGCATTGGAGAGGAGTATAGACAAAATTCACGAAATTAAACTCCAAATACAAGAGATAAAGATCGAAGGTGATTGGGAGCCAAACGAGGTTAGAAAGTGGACGGAGGAGCTCGAAGCTAAGCTTAGTAAGTATGAGAAGGAATTTAAAACTATCAAGAACGAAGTGACCGAAGTAGAGAGCAAAGAAAAGGAGAAAATTGAGCAAGAAAAACGCCAGCGTGTTTTCGAAGATGAATTGAAGCTACAGGAGGTCAAATTACAGCGTCAGTTCGAGATGGAGAAACAATACAAAGAGGTTACAGATTCCTCGTCTAAGCCAGGGAGTTTTAGCCGTGCCAAGCTACCTAAGCTGGTCATAACGCCTTCCCAGGGAACTCATCTCGACTGGATGCGGTTTTGGAGTCAATTTGAAACAGAAATCGACAAGTCAGAGGTTAGCCAAGTCACTAAGTTTTCATATCTCAAAGAGTTAATTATTCCCAAGGTCAGGGGCTTGATAGACGGTCTCCCTTACACAACAGAGGGGTATGAACGGGCCAAGAGCGTGCTGAAATCCAAATATGGGAAACCAAGTGAGGTATCAAATGCGCACATGCAGTGTATCATTTCATTGCCGGTTATTCCAGGGAATGGGCCCTCCAAAATCCATGAGTTCTATGAGAATTTGGTTGCTCATGTTCAAGTACTGGAGACTATGGGTAAACTTAAGGAGATAAATGGATATGTGAGGCTTACACTGGATAAACTTCCAGGCATTAGAGCAGATTTAGTAAGATTAGATGATAACTGGCAAGAGTGGGGTTTTCCTCAACTAGTAGAATCCTTGCACAAGTGGTGTGAGCGCAACCCTATAACCCTCGACCGTAAGGCGCCTATCCCTACACCTGAGCACGGTTTACGGAAGTCACCTCAAAAGCGAGAAAGGGTATTTCAAACTAAGGAAGAAACGAGCAAGATTATCACATGTGTCTATTGTGAGTCGGGTCAACACAAGYCTGTAGATTGTGATCAGGTGAAAGGTGTCCAAGAGAGAAAGAAATCCTTAGCTGCAAAGAAGCTGTGCTTCAATTGTACTGGCGCAAAGCATAGAGCGGCAGATTGTCGCAGCAAGCACAAGTGCCAAAGGTGTGAGGGCAAGCATCACACGTCTATCTGCGACAAACAGCCCGGATCGAACATGTTGATAGCGGCTGGGGAGGGTAGCGTGACTTATCCTGTAGTCGTGGTCCTTGTAGATGGCATAAAATGCAGAGCGCTACTAGACACTGGGGCAGGCAGCTCGTACGCGTCAGCTGCACTGCTCGAGCGCCTTAACAAACGGCCTTTGCGTAGTGAATACAAGAGAATTGATATGATGATGCACTCAACAACTCAACGTATAGATGTTTACAACGTGAAGGTGCAARGCATCGATGGAAAGTTCGAGATGTCAACACTYGTGAGTAAAGTTGACAAGGGAGCCCTTCTTATGCTACCAAACCCAAGGTACGCTGAGATTATCAAAAGCTACAGCCACCTRAAAGGGGTCATCATGGAGGATGACGACACAAAGAGCGAGTTGCCTGTACACCTGATTCTTGGTGCAAGCGAGTACTCACGCATTAAAACTGAAGAAAAGCCAAGGCTGGGACGTTCCGGAGAGCCAGTTGCTGAGCGTACCGCTCTAGGATGGACAATTATGTCACCGGGTAAAGAAATGGCCCTCGGAAACATGCTTTTTGCACGTTCATCTCTAGCAGACTACGAGCAGCTTTGTAATATCGACGTCTTGGGACTTGAAGACAGACCAGAAGGTGATCAGAGCTTAGTTTACGAAGAGTTCAAGGAGCAACTGAGCCGCAACCAAGAAGGGTGGTATGAAACAGGGTTGCTATGGAAACAGAACCACGACACCCTTCCAAGCAACGAGAAAGGAAGCATAAAGCGTCTTCAAAACCTGCTAAAGAAACTTCAGAAGAATCCAGATCTGATGGAGAAGTATGATGACGTGATCCAAGATCAGCTACGTCAAGGAATTGTAGAAGCGGTTCCTGAAACTCCAGCGGCAAAGGAGTTCTATATTCCACATAAGCCGGTAGTRAGAGAAACAGCCGAGACTACGAAAGTGAGGGTAGTCTATGACGCATCAGCCAAAGAAACCGAAAGCAGTCCCTCGTTAAACGAGTGCTTAGAGACCGGTCCCCCTCTCCAGAATCTACTGTGGAACGTCCTCGTGAGAAGTCGGTTCAAGCCCGTTGCATTAGCCGGGGACATCAAGCAAGCCTTTCTGCAAGTTCGCATACGCCACGAAGACAG